TAGTGGCTACCCCTCTTTGGGCTGATTATAGGTGTCATTCACTTAATTTGCAGTTTTTTGTACTTAAAACATTTTTTGTAAGGGGTATGTACTTTTTAATCATTACAAGAAAAATATGTAGTGTCTTTCAGGATTGGAGAGCTTGATAGTCAAATCTGAAGTAATCAAGAGAAACTTAGAAATTAGGTTATCACAAGTGGGTCAAAGATCTGCTCAGAAAAATCAGTTAGGCAAACAATTGCATTTAGGGTTCCATGGATAAAAGAGAGATGGTTAAGGAAAGCTGGGCTATCTAGGGCTGTGCTTTCCTATATGGTAGCCAATAGTAACATATGACTATTCATTTAAATTTAAACTTAAGTTAACCAGACCAAATTAAATAAGGAATTAGTTCCTGAACTATACTGGCTACATTGAAAGTACTCATTGCTATATGTAGCTCCTTATATATTGACAGTAGAGTTAGAAAACTTTTCCATCATCACAGAAAGTGTAGAAGCTAGGATCCTGCAGAGTAGGTATTAACAAACAAGAACCCAAGACAGAAAAGGAAAGAACAAAAATGTTGGTAATGAGGCTGAACAACATGAATCCATATTGTGAGTTTAGGTTATTGAACAAAGTGGCATAGCTGGAAGAATTGGCTCTTTTGTCAAAGGGCTGCTGAAGCCATACAAAAAAAGTATTTAAGATGAGTTACACAGCTCAAACTGTTATCTGTGTTAAGTCATATACTCTTTCCCCTTATGCGATAAATGGTTTCAGGGAGGAGGGGGCCTGTTGTAAAGATTTCAAGAGGCAAGAGTGAGATAACCTAGCCCATGAAGGGTTACTACTAGATTGCATGGGCAGTGGCTGGAATATTGAATGTGTGCCCTCTGTGTTTTTATTTCACTTCCTTCCATACTGTTTAAGATATAAAACTAGCATCTTGATAATAATGCTCACACTCCTACAGGACTTAGGTAGATTTTGGCATCTCTTTTTACATAGAAATAGGGTGAAAAGTAGACAACTGGGTTATTTAAACTGAGCAAAAAAAAAAAAAAGAGTACGATCCCTAATCTTAAAATTTTATTGTGTTAAATTGTTTTGTATTCTTTAAGCAAATATGACTCAAATTATAGATACAATGTGAGCTGGAGACAATCAAAACATGTATATGGATACTATCCCAAATACGGGGAATGTTGCTAATATGCTTGCAGCATAGAGCCATTTTGGTTAGACGATTATAATAGCAACTTACTAGTACTTTGGGTGAAATAGCAAGCTAATGATGTAGCCATTAATTTGAATTTAGCAGACATTTTAAATATAGGTTTCTTTTACAGAGACAAAAGTTGCAATTTAAAGCTCTTTGGTGGTCTAAAAACAGCTTAATTCTGTAGTAGCATGGTAATAAGTACTAATCCAGCTTATACAGTGATTGTAGTATGTCATGTTTGTGAAAGATTGTCCAACTGCTTTCTCTGGGTTTTATGTTAATTTAAAAATATTAAACATAAAACCTTATAACATCTTCATGCTGAGATAAACTGTTCAATTTAACTTGCGCTCAAGCAGCAGCTGTCAGGAATTATCTTGTTCCTAGTGGTTTTTGCTATCACCTTGTGCCCTTTCCTGCCAGAGACACACTGTGGGATGATAAAGCACACCTTGTTAGGATTTATTGCTTAAATAACACCTGAGGCAGGGTGAATATTGGTAGCCTAGGGATTAGTTGCTGATTGACTGATGCCATTCATTGTGTAATTATCAACTTTTAAAAATTGATGGTAGAGTGAAAAATAAAAATTGCTTATGCTTGCATTTCTTTTGTGGGCACCTTCATCATTTCTTTGGGGTGTCAAACTAGAGATTTAAGGTATTGCTTGTGGTCCAGTTTAAGCAACATTTTACAAATAAGAAAGTCAAGAGAAGTACTTGAGTAATGATAGATAAATGAGTACTGTTTCAAGATGTATTATAAAATTACAGTYGATTTTCTTTTAATAATTAAACTGAAGGAAGTGTTAAAGTGGGCAGTCTCAAATGGTTAATGTTATGAAAATCGTCATCATTTCTCTTCTGTAGTGCATTCCCTTATTTGGGAGGTTTGTTTTGGAAGGTTTCATTCTTTATTATGCATCAGCAAGGAGAGTGGGCATGTAGAAAAAGTGGAGTGAAGGACTTGCCTTGGCTCAACATTTGCTACTGATAGTCCACTCTGAAGAAAATCTTGACCTATGAATTGATGACTGGATATGTCAAGAAACGTATGATGCGCTTGTTTTTTTTTTATGGAATGTAGATTTTTTTTTTCTTCTACTTAAGTACTGTTCAGTTCACATTCCCACCAAGTCCATAGTTTTCTAAAGGTCTGACTCACCAAAAATTTGCAATAGGACAATGGATTGCATATACGGAATTTCATTCAGATCAGTCAATTGCTAAAGTACATTTGGCATTTCTCTTTGTAGTTGTATACACATGAATATTTATTAGCAGTAGTAGCATTTTTACTAAGTATTTTAAGAATTAGTTGCAGACATCATGACACTTCACATGTAAATAATTTGACATGAATATTCTAAGATGACTGCAATAAAAGTATTATATTTAAGAAACTCGAGATTGATAAAACTCTTAACTTTCAGCCTGTATTCACATTTTCCTTGTTGCCCTGATAATGGCTTTCATTTCTGTTTTTATCCTATTCCAGTATTCCACTCAGTGATCAAACACTGGATTGTGTTTTGGAGACTCTTTATTTTCCTTTAAGTTAGATTTTTTTCTTTTACGACATTGATATTTTTGGTTATCCAGCTCAATTATTCTTTAAGCTGTTTGAACATTTCCTCATTGCCAAATTCAGATCAGGCATTTGCAGCAGAAATATTACATTGATGATTTTTACCTATCTCAGTGCATCATATTTGGGAATACATGATTCCACCTTATCAGATTATTGATCATATTGCTTGATTACTTGGTTAAGTTGGTGTCTACCAGATTTCTTCATTATAAGAGGTACCATTTTTTTCCTTTGTAATTAATGTCAGATAGGGGCTGCATTTAATTCATTTTTCTGTTTTGAGTGTGAAAAACATTGAGCTTGCTCAGGACTTAATGATTAAAAATGGGAATCATTGCTTACAATGGTGTAGGTAGTGAGGAGGGGCAGGGAGAATAGGAGTAGAGGAAGATGACTCAATAAATAGACCCACAAGATGCCATCCATTCCCCTTTAAGGAAAGTATTGTTTGAGTGAAATTAGGGTTTTGTGGTTTTCCTCACTAAGGATCAGATATGTAGGTAACTAAATATCTTCTTATTTCAGAATTTTCAGTGTAAGTTTTAGAAAGGCTTATACTTTGATGGTGGTGATGGGGATATCTTTGAACAAAATAGGGCATTTTGTGACCATGATTTTACTGCTTGCTTTAATTGTATCTAGCTGAACAGTTTAAAAACTAAATGCACCTCCTTGGTAATAACTTTTTTTTTTTAACTTTAAAGAAATAAACCCTAACATTAGTGGAGCAATGTGGTTTAAAGAGGGATTGTTAGCTTTTGGTCTTATGTGCTTCTTGTGTGCCATGAAGAAGGCACTTGAATTCCTATTTATGATACATGCACTCATTATGTCATCATTCTTCTTGTGTGAAAGGCTAGTGCTGCAGATCATATAAACACCTGAAGTTAGCCATTTGGCTTGTCAGCAAGGGAGGATTTATAGTAGTTGTAATCATGGTAATAACAAGGATGATATTTTGTATTTATTAAGTACAGAAAAAAGCATTTGCAATGTAAGTGGTCTACAACCAACTCAGAGCAGTGTGTAATAAAAAGCACTTCAGGCTTAGAAGACCAGCAGTCTCTGCTTTGCCACTTCCTATCAGGGTGATCCTAGGGGAAAAAAAAACCTTAACCTTCCTGGCCATAACTTTTTTGGAATGGGAATTCAAGCTCTACAGGTCAAGTATGCTATATTATATTCTAAAGGTGGCATTCTATTAAAATTGTGCCATCTGAATGTTCTCAGCTGCTCAGGGATGGTTTTCTTTTCCTCTTTTGTATCCATTTGTGGTAGGCATTGCTTTAGGGAAGCATTCCTAGCTTGTCCCAGATGATTAATACTCCTTTCTGTTTGTTCCTCTGATACTTTGTGTATGTCAGCATTCATCCTGCTAAGCTGCCCCCCCCATCTTTTCTGTTCTTCCTGTTTTGACCATGTCACCTACTAGACATTTAAGTAAATGCTTGTGAAATGAGAGAGTGAATACATACTTGTTTTTATTTAAACACATGCATAGAGGTATGCTTTCAGTTTCATTTTATCCAAAGACAAAGAATCAACCTCCTTCACCTCTTATCTGTGCTTTATATAAGGGATTTTTAGATTGTATATCTGGTGCCATTAGCAGTCTAGTAATGGWGAAGAGAAAAAAAATTAAATATAAGAATTATGGGATACTCTAAAAGRGGGGCAAGAAAATATGCCAAGAGAAAAAGACCATACTAGATAAGTCTACTGCATAAATCAAAAGGGTTTATGTCAAAACATGAACATGTGCCATTCCTACTTATATATTGAATTTCAGTAGTTGGTTGCATAAAGAAGTAAAGTGTAATGAAACTGGCAAGCAAAGTATTCCCCAGTCAGCCTTATCTTTGTTCCATTTGTCCTTCAGATAGAGCTTTTCTTGCCTTTTTCAATAAAATCCATCCAGGTTTTTTTTTTTTTTTCATTTTTTCTTTTTTTTTTTTTTTTTGCATCTCTCAGTAACTGAGCTGAGTAGACCAATGAGATTCAGGGCTTTTATAGTTCTTAGCAGCTGCTTTTTAAGAGATCAAAACTTAGAATGCTGCTACATGGTATTAGGGCTCAACTATTGATGTGTCCCTAGAGGGGATATGTTTTGCTTGGGATGGGAAGTGGAAAGAGGAGAAAAGGGCAAAAGATGACCCCTKCAAGCATGCTTGGGACAGTAAACCCTAATTTCTTTGTTTCCTAGGATCCTCTTTGCAAGCTCAGTACTTAACCTGACGGAACTGACTGCCCTTCGGCCTGACCTTGGGAAATTGAAAAAGATTCTGTACTTCCATGAGAACCAATTGGTATATCCCGTCAAGAAATGTCAAGAGAGGGATTTTCAATATGGTTACAACCAAATTCTTTCATGGTGGGTATAGGTTGCTTCATATTTACCTCTTTGCAATATTTTTCTTTATAGATGGTTAGCTTTTAAATATGGAGACCTACTGTATACTTATAAACACCTTTAGGGAGGTACAAATGTTTGAATATTACTTTAATGGTACCAACTGCTTGTACTTCTCTGGTATATATAAGATCACAGCTACTCCTTTTATAAAATACATAAATGTAACAATCTAATTATATGTTGAACTAATTATGTAACWGTATTTTTCACAACATTTAAAATAGAATCAAAAGGTTGACAGGGACCTTCACCACTTGATCCCATGATTTATTGTTTAAAACATACTTTTAGAAAGGTCAGTTTGTGAACTCACATTTACCCATTAATTTCACTGTATTCAACTAYAATTAAAATAGAAATTTACAGAGAAATAAAAAATTAAAATGTAATAGATTGAGAGATGTTGCCTCCCCTATATTTTTGGTTGTTTTTAAGGCAGAAAATTATGGAAAATGAATCTTTCTGTGTATGTGTGTTTTCCCCCACATTGAGTCTTCTGAAATGACACAGCCTTAAAATACCATGACATTTCAAAGGTGAGGGTCCTTTTCTATTGTTACTTCAACAAAGTATATCTCCTGATGGTTAGTTAATGAAAGAAGTTAATAACAACTCCAGAAAAATGGGGCTGCTGTTGTATCCTATTCAAGTAACTACAGGCATCAAATGGACTTGGTGGCAGGAATTGGATACATTTTGCTCACCTTTTAAAACAATTATTAGCATTTGGGATTGATGATGTGTTTCAGCAGACTTTCAACTCTTGCAAGTCTGTTCCATTGTGTAGTTGACATAGAAAACAACTATATGGTAATAATTCTGTGTTTTGAGCATTTTGTAAATGTTTTCCTGCAATCATTTTTACAGGCTGCTTCAATTGTGAAGTAGCAGTGCTATCAAAATAGAGTGGAACTGCTTCACGTCAAATGTCTCATAAAAAAGCAACTGTTTTAAAATTTCATAATAAAATTAAAATACTTTATTTTATATTGAAACAAAGGGAAATATGTTTGAAAAATGAAAATAAAATCATTTTGTGCTTTATCAATATGGAAAACATTTGTAATATTCCTATGATTTCTTGAATTAGCATCATTCTTTTCTTCAGATAGTGTGTGTTTATTACCCCTGAGAAAACACTGGGAAAAAAAATTAAGTCTATKTTTCCTTTTATGGGTGGCTTTAAAGTTAATGGAAGTTATACCCATTTATATCAGGAAGCAAATGCACCAAAAATAATATTTCTATAAACAGTTTTGTGTCTTTCACTTAGCACAGACTAGATTTTTAAGAATGTAAGTGGTTGGGTTTTAGCTATCTGCCCTTTAAGAACAGATATCTAAAACAAATTTTACCTCACTCCCCTCCCTTCCTTTRTAAGATTGGTTTTACTCACAGGGAATGAGTCTGTAAAAGCTTGCACACAATTTTTCAGCATTTCTCTTCTTAAGAGGGTAAACTGATAGACAAGCTTGGAAAGAAAGAAGTGAACTTCATCATAATTTGGCTTCTTAATGGGAAAAAAAATGGCTCACAGTTGTCCAGAGGAAAAATAAGAGTGTCAAAGAACAGTCTTGTTCTGATTCTCTTCAAAAAGTATGACTCCTGCTTTCTCAAATGTTTCTTTAGTTTTCTTGCTGACTTCTGCTTTTGTTGGCACTGTCAGATTTCTTCCTTGACTGTGTGGCAGTTAAGGATTTTAAAGATGACTGACATAAGCACTCACCTTAAACAGAGGTTTCACTAACCCTCTRACTTATGAACACATGTCGTAACTGTATATTATGACCTGTGGGTCGCTATTACAATATGTGACATATGGTGAAAACAGGCTAGCTGTAAAACATCCTTCAACTTTTGGGATATTATTATATTGGTTTCCTTATTGCTTAGTGTCATGTCAGCACTTCTGTGCTTTCCTTTGTTTTATCCATGTTGCAGACATTCCTGTTCCCCCAGATTTGCACCAGGTAAGAACTTTAAAAGAAACAAACAAACAAAAAAACTTGTATGCAAAAGGAATTTTGGAGGAGAGTTGTGGGGGTGGCAGGATAAGATTTTGCTCATTGATTTTTTTCATTCTACTATGTATTAATAATAGTAAATCTGGCTGTCCCAGGAAATATGGTATAAATTAAATTGAGGATTTGGTAAGGCATTCCTATCCTATCTATAAGCGATACTTATTTTATTGTGTTTTACATTCCTATGGACTTTAATGTTTTCAGTGTTATTGATCTGTCATTTTCAGGGTGAAATAAAATTGCTGTATCTGTTTATCTGTATCCTTTTTTGGAAGTGTTTGGATGCATTTCATTGAGATCCAGTGACACTGAATCATTGGTTAAATGATAAGAAGTCATTTTCAAAAATCCAAACAGTGATTTATTAATTCAGTTTGATTCATACTACACATTCAGGTTCTATCCAGCTCATCCATGATTCTCAATTGTGTTCACTCGTGTCCAAGTAAATATTACAGGCAATCTGAAAACTGCCCATATGCTTATATCACATAAAATTTTCTTACATGTTTTCCTCTTCAATTTTTTTTAGCTTTTCCTTTTTTAAATATTTTTATTAGTACATTATAGTTATACATAATAGTGGGGTTCATTCTTTACAAAAATCATACATGCATGGAATATAATTTGCTACATTTCAGTCCCAAGTACTTCCWCTTTCCTTCTCCTCCTACCTCCCCCTCACATTTTCTTATAAAAATATTTTTATGTTATTTTTGTGAAATATTGAGGAGCACAGTCTTATTTGTCAAAAGCAATAATCAGTAGTATATTTGTTTTGTTTAATTCTAAAAGTTGTGGTATTGTGTTCATTATATATATAATGAGTGGGACAAATGATATGTATTTTTAGATCCATTTCCACTAATTTGTCTACTTCTCTGATGACCCCAAATATAATATAGAGAAATAAGTTGATTTGTAGAGATACTATTACCCTTCCCATGTAATTTCAGAACTTTAAAAAACATAACAGTTTCTTTTTTTGCTATTGAAGACTGAACTCAGGGGCACTCAAACCACTGAGTCACATCCCAGCCCTGTTTTATATTTTATTTTGAGATAGGGTCTTACTGAGTTGCTTAGTGCCTCACTTTGGCTGGAGGCTGGCTTTGAACTCATGGTACTCCTGATACAGCCTCCAGGGCCACTGGGATTACAGGCATGTGCCAGAAAAACATAACACAGTTTATTGAAGCAATATCTAAAGCAGAGAATACACTTACAGACTTTGACCAAAATGTTTTTATAAATACCAAGGCCTAGCTTGAATGAAGGTGGCAAGAAGTCCAGCAAACATTCCCTTCTTAATATTACAGTGTAAAACAAAGTATATCATTGACAGAGAAACTCAATCTTGGCAGATGGGCTAMAATTAAAATTTTTTTTTCTAAATTAAATATTGTTGGTAATGTGGAAAGTTCCGGGCATTATGGGGAAGCATGTTTTGGTTTGAAGTCCCATGTGATCCCACTGAATCATTAAATTTGCCTGTTGTCTTTCCTCCCTGTTGCCACCAATYCAACTTCCCATGATACAACACTAATGAAACTCACTTATCTATTAATAGAGACATTTTGAGAGATACTGATGGGAAGTGAAGTGTTCTTTGGAATCSTGAAGTACAATGTAAACTATAATTAATACACAGAGGTTTTAGGCTTATAAAAAATTCTCTGAATGAATCTGAGTTTATCATTTGCATTTATTTTTTTCCCTTTAAAGCCTGGTGGCTGATGTGGTGGTATTCAACTCAGTTTTTAATATGGAGTCATTTCTCACTTCCATTGGAAAATTTATGAAGCTGATTCCTGATCACAGACCCAAGGATCTGGAAAGCATCATCAGACCCAAGTGCCAAGTTATTTACTTTCCCATCAGATTTCCTGATGTGAGCAGGTCAGTGTGTTTGACTCTGTTCTCAATATTGTATCATAAATTACTTCTCAAATGTATAGAAATCAGTGTTTTTTCCTGCCAATTTTAACATATTGGCATAAGCATGGTTAATAGAGAGTTGAGTTCTTTCTCACCATACTGTACTTTATTAAGATTTTCAATAAGTGTATGTTCATTGGATCACTGGGTGGTTAGTTCAGACATTGAATTCTTCCTTTCTTTACTGTTATTTATTTCCCAAAGTAGGTTGCTTTGGCTTTTAAAACTTACTGTCATGTTTCTTTGTTTGTTATTTATTAAAAAAGTCATTGTCAAACATATTTGTCAACTTTTACATCCAGCCTTAGAGCCACTGTTTAAATGCATAATAATCACTCTTTTAAAAAGTAACGTTAAAACCTCATTTTCTGGATGACTTTTCAGTTTCACTGCTATTTTCCTCTAATCTTTTTCTTTATTCATTTTTATTATTTATATTATCTTTATAATGAATTAAGCCTTCCATATTGGGTTGCCAATATACTTAATTGCCATTTCTCTTTCTCATTTGCTAAGGACATTTTTTATTACCCTTGTTACTGGGCCCACCCTGAATTAGCAATGGATGATGTGGCTCTAAGGGAACATTCTGGAATCCCTTTTCACTTTCGATTAAAACCTAGCAAAACTATTTTTACTACTATCAGGAATATTTGTCCTATGTAAATACAAAGTTTTTTTTTTTTTTCTTCAGTGGGACTCACAGTAGCTGGGTATGATGCTGTTTTGTAACTGCATCCTTAGAAGAAGTTTGGGGACAGCTGTTTCTACCCCATCTTTGCAATGAAGGCCAGAGATGATTTAATGTCCTTAGGTGCTGTGCAGAAGGTCAGCATTAGCCTCTGTGTTCTAGATTTACTGAGTTCACCCAGATTTTGCTGTAGGGTCAGTAGTCCTAATCTGCACCCCTAATGATGATTTATGTGAGTGTCTTACTAGTTAGTATTTCATCTACAAAAAAATCTCCCCATACCAAATCAAGTTAATGAGTCATAAAATTCAAGTTAGACCACCTTGCCCAATCCTTACTTTGTGCATAGTAGAAAACAGAAGCCCAGAGAAGTAGAGACTGTCTTGTAATCACCCTGTCATTGTCACAGACTGGATTAAGTTTAGCTTCCATAACTTTTGATTCTAATTTCTGTTTAATGTTAAAGCTTCCTGTCATTATTGGTCATTTATTAATAACATTTCATGATTTATTTGCCTTTTTGATAACTATAAAGCTAAATGCAACCATAATGACAATCAATTTTCAGGTGTATGTGTGTGTGTGTGTGTGTGTGTAGGCATGTGTTTTCATATGTGTGTATAGTCATATCTTCATATGTGTGAGGGATTTGTTCCAAGACCTAAATGTCAGGGATATCAAAATCTGCAGATACTCAAGTTCCTTATGTAAAGTGGCATAGTATTTATATTAACATATATACATCTCCCCATATACTTTAAACCATCTCTAAATTCCTTGTAATACTKAATACAATATAAGGGCTGGGCAGATAGTGATTATATGGCATTAGTCGAGCAATTACAACAAGAAAAATGTCTGTGTATACTAAGTACAGACATATTGCTTTCTTCCCAAATAATTTGGATCTGCAGTTGGTTGAATCCCTGAATGGGAAACCCATGGATACAGAGGGCTAACTGTATGTGTGTGTGTATATATTTCTGTAGACATAGTTTTCTTATGTGTGATGGGAAAATTTAATTTTTGAAAGCTCTTGTTGTTATACTTTACACTTATTATTCACTGGAACACAGTTATGAACTTGAATTTTTAAAATATTGGGTTTGTTTTTAGAAATAAGTTTTTAATTTGTTCAGAGATAGCAATGTACATCTGTGAGTCGGTAGTTATAGCTCATCTTGTTACTGCTCTAGGTTTCCAAGTAAATAATGTGTTTTAAAATTCATTTACATCTGATATGTTTCTATAACATAATATGTTTAATACACCTATGKCAATTGAATAGTTTATTAATTTGAACCATATTACCATAAAGGAATCTAGCTAAATAGAAGAAGGTTAAGAAATATTGTGGCCAAGATAACATTCATAAGCAAGGTCTTAGCCCAGAGTGTTATTTGAATTATTTTCAAATGGTAATTTGCTTTATACAACCCAAACTCATATAGTGTAAGTAAGTGATTATTTGCATGAATGACAATCATTCTAATGCCTGCAGTTTTAAAAGCTTATTATTTTGTTGAGATGTTGAAAAATATTTAGCAATTCCAAAGGCAAAATAACCAAGGTGATTAAAAAAAAAAGACTTCTGAATGCTTCTCTCTCTCTCTCTCTCTCTCTCTCTCTCTCTGTATGTATGAGTGTGTGTGTGTGTGTGTGTGTATACACACACACAAACTATTTGGTCACAGAAAAATGGATTTAAATAAAAATAAAGCAGGGGCCTTAGTGGTAGAGCTCTCACCTAGTACATGTGGGGTTCTGGGTTCCATCCTCAGCACCACATAAAAATAAAATAAAGGTATTGTGTCTAACTACAATTAAAATATTAAAAAATAAAGCATAAGATGGAGTTAGATTATTAATATAACATCCTATATGTAATATAATAGATATTAATCAAAGAAGAGGAAAGAGCTACTTTCCCAGAAAAAAAAAGTGAGGATTGATACAGTTGATGTGTGTTGAAACTCAGAGCATGTCAGTCACTGAGGCACTCAGTATTATTGGGCTTGTGATACCTTCTGTTATCTATTGYTCTACTAACCCATCTCCTGCCTTACTTCTAAAGTCTAGAAAAATGATAACAAGAGAGATTATTCTCTCAACAGCATTCCATTATCCATATTAAACATTTGAGGATTGGAAAGCTCTTAAATACTGTTGTCACATATACATMTATTTCAGTCTTGACTCCTACTTTCTAACTCTGTGATTTTTGCCAGACTCAGAGTGACCCAGAATCTAGGTTCTTTAATAGTCATAATTACGTTTACCTTGTCACTTCATAGGGATGCTTTAGAGAATAAATGAAATGATGTTTGCCAAATGTCTAGGATAGTGCCTGGTATGAAACAGACCCCCAGTAAAAGATTATTTTGTTTTATTAACTTCCTTACCCCCACTAATGTGTAATTTGGCACATCTGTTGTCTTCTGCATTTAGTGAGTTATTCCCATTCAACCTCCAGACTTCTGTAATGCACACAAGAAAATAGAGTACTACTCTGCCAAAAGGTCAGTCTAATACAAATAGAGAGGTTGGTTTATTTGTTTTCTTGTCACCTCAACTGAAATATTCTTTGACCTTACAAGAATGTACCATCCATCGAWTAAGTGAACTTTTTACTTTCATTTTGTTCTTATTTCTTCCTTATTTATCCAGCTTAACTTCCAAATTCCTTTATCATATTTATTGTCTTGCATATGATCTCAAATCTTTTACATCCTTGCTTCACTTCTCTCCCCAGGTCTGATTAAATCCATTTCTTCACTTACTTTCTACCTGCACTCATAGAACTAAAGATGACTGGAAACACACAAACAAACAAAAAAACATCTATCTGTACTTTTTAATGTGCTCTGAATTTGTACTCCTAATTCCACACAGATCCTTTGGGCCAGCTGCACACATACCACACTTCCACATGTTTAGGTGATAAATCATTCCTTCTCTTTTTTTTTTTTCATTTCCTTTTCTTTCTCTCTCCTTTTCTTTTAGAAATCTCCAAGTCTTTTATGTTCATTCTCAGTTGATGTTTGAGACTATAGAAGCAGTCAGAAAGAAACTTCTGTATAGTGACACAGTGTCTGCCCAGTTGTGTACTTCTGGGTGCAGATTCTCCCTCTTCACACCTGTTGCTCTGGATGAATTGCCCTTGGTTCAAGCTAAGGATGCACCTCTACTTCTTTGAGAGAACCCATCTTTCTCAAGTACTCATGGCCTATTGTTTCAGGAATTTTTCGTTCTATGTTCTTCATTAATAATTTTCCTCTTTTTTGAATCATTACTGGTTTTTTTTCCTGGTTTGTTCCTATTAGTATACAAAAAACTCTACTATTTCTCATATCTTAAAAAACAATCTCTCTTTAAGGAAAAAAAGAAAAAAAAAGAAGCATCTCTCGTTATTCCATTTCTCCCTTTTGCTAATGCTTCATTTCTCTACTTCTTTTGGTAGCAAAACTCACCAAAATTGTTGTTTATACTTATTGCTTCCAATTTCATTTACACTGTATGCTGTCAGAGCTGTTAACACTGATTTTTTGTCAGGGTCATCAATGAGCTCCATACCTGTAAATCCTTTGGTCAATCCTTAGTACCCATCCTTCTTAATTTACCAGCAGCATCTGACACATTATGGCACATTCTTTAGGTGGCTTCACATGGGCAGCTCCTTCTCAGGCTCCTTGGCTAGTTACTCCTCATCATCCTTTCTTTTTAACATGGGCTGCCTTTGGCACTCACTCTGTCTGCTTAAGGAATTGTTGGAGGAAAAGCCCAAGATTGAAATGAGAAGAAAAGATTCATAAAGTCAACAATGAGATGATTATTCTGTGCAACAAAAGGAAGATAGTGTAAAGAGATGATTAGAAGTAAATTCAGAGCATTGAGATTAAGTGAGGTGATGTTTGAAAGTGTCCTKGAATTCAACAATTTAAGAGTCAGTGGTACCCTCCACCTCCTGAGTTCTTTTAACTCACAAAAACATTATATGTATATTTCTCTTTTTTTAAACCTGGTAGCCAGAGAAATATAGGTCTAGTTGTGATATCTCTTTATATTTGTCTGTTTTTCACACAAAAACATATATACACATGGACATACATACAAATAGTTCCTCATTTTATGGATGAAGGGACCAGTGTGGCCCAGAGAAGCTATATGTCTCCTTACAATCACACAGCTAAATACAGGCAAAGCAGGAACTAGAACTCATATCTCAAAATCTCCATCTATTGCTCAGCCCACCACTGATTGTTAATGCAAT